AAAAAAAAAGACAGCACATGCTTTCATTAATGTCACAATTGGTCAGTTTCACTTCCCTTTCCTGCTTGCTTCATTTCCTCCAAATGCAGTTGTGGTACCTCATAAAAGAGGAAGTGCTTGTGGTATGAGACACAACTAACATTTAAGAACCCAAGAGGCTTTTGTAATCAAGTCGTCAAGCCCTTGTTTGAAAGGCTAGAAGATTATACTGTGTTGCTGTAGAAAATGAGAGAATAACTGTATTATAGGACCTAGAAAATTTGGAAATCACATGGTTTCCGATTCAGATTTCAGGATGGATCATTCACATAACTCAACTGTTCTTTCCCAGAAAAGTTTGGATATCCAGTCTTTTTTTTTATTAGGGTGTTGTTTTAAATAACAAGGGTGGATATACATTTTTCACTTTCTGATGTTTTTGGAAACCTACCAGTTATTTCAGCTGTGGATGTTTGAGAGCCAGGGGAAAGGCATTTTTTTCATTGTGCTACTTTAAAAGACAGTGATTTAAGAACATGTTCAAGGACTTACAAAACAGTTGTGAATTTGGGGGAGAAAAAAAAACTGCTCCCTTTCAGGGGAAGGCCGATTGAGTAACTCTGAATGAACTGGATGTTTCCAAATGGTCTTTCCAAGGTTGTTTGGAGGTCAGTTCCCTACTGAGAAAAAATAAATAAAAATACTTAGCATTTTAAAAAAACTGGTCAGCATCCTCAGGAAGCCAAAATAAAATTTTCTTTTTAACCATGCAGCAAAATTTCTGAGTGATTGGTGTGATTTTATATTCAAGATATTCAACTTAAATACACAAATTAAATTAAATTAAATTAAATCATAACAATAAATATGTAAATAAATAAATAAATGCAATTAATTTCTGTTAGCAAACTTTCAGACCGATTTGTGTGATTTTTTTAACAATAAATATTCAAGGTAAATACACCATTTAAATTAAATTAAAACAATACAAAATATTTTAATAGATCGATAGATAGATCGATAGGCCGATAGATAGATAGATTAGAAATACACATAAATAAATAAACTTCCTGTAATAACATTAAAAAAGCCTCTTAAAATTACAACAATTGTTGACATTGTTGGAGGAAAAACAAAATATGCGCACTGTCGTATATTCTGTTCAACCTTGTTAGAAAAATATTAAATGTATTAAAATAAAAACGACTAACAGAAAATGACTGCAACAATACAAATAAATAAATACATAAATAAATAAAATTAGCAGAAGTAACTAATTAGCTTCAGTTATAATTACTAATTGTTGACATTGATATGATTTTAATTGCTGATGTGGAGCAGACTCACCAAACCACTTATTTTTCACAACAGGCGAATTTTATATTATATAATAGTCTATAATCAAATATATTTTACAGTTCTACAAAAACACATTTGATAATTTAATGCTCTAAAGTCATATGATACCAGCA